CTTTTAGAAAATAGTAGAAGAGAATATGTTTAAGACCTTAGGATAGGGAAAGATTTCTTAAACAAGGTGTAAAAAGCACCAACCATACACAAAAATATTGATAATTTTTTTCAGTTTCTGTTCATCAAACAAAACCATGAAAAATTAAGCAATTCAGAAGCAAGTCACAAGACAGAGGACAGTGTTCAGAAAATATGAAGAACTCCTACAAACCAATTTTAAAAAGGACCATAACCCAATAGAAAAGTGGGAAAAGATATCGGGCATTTTACAGAAGAGAAAACATGAGTGGCCAATAAACATGAAAACGTGTTCAACCTTGCTTAGCAATCAAGGATGTGCAAATTGAAACCACGAATTTCCACTCATTAGATTATCAAAAATGTAAGAAGCTTTGAGTTTTCTGTGAAGACAGTCATTATTTGCACATGACAGTTTTGTTTCTTCTCTTGAAAGAAATGTGATGACAAACAACTAGAGGTTGGGAGTGTAAATTGATTGGAATAACCTTATTAGAAAAAAAATGAGTTGGCATTAAGTAGAAGTTCAAGCTGCATATACCTTTTAAACAACAATTCTCCTAGTGATATTTCCAGAGCATTGCATGTAGGCTGCAGGGCGTGGGGAGGGGGGAGTGTAGATACCCTAGGCCCTGGGGGATGAGGAGACAGATCTGTAACTCATTTGAGAAACTCTTTTTTTTTTTCCCCTTTTTGTCTTTTTTTCGTGACTGGCAACGGATCGCAACCCTCAGTGTCGCGCCCGTATCAGACTGGGACCGGCAACGGGATCGCAACCCTTGGTGTTGCACCCGCCCCTCGCTCAGCCAGTGAGCGGCCGGTCTGTATGTGGGATCCGAACCCTCGGCGGGAGCGCCGCCGCGCTTCCCAAGTGGCACACTGTAGCAGTGCGCCACCGGGCCGGCCTATTTGAGAAACTCTTATATGTGTGCCCCAGAATGTATGTAGTAACGTTTGCTTAAACTTTAGACAGTCTCAAAGTCCATGTCTGCAGATAAATTATGGCATTATTCATAAAGACAAGTGCCATAAAACAGTGAAAATTAGTGAACTACTACACCTTCAGGTATCAACATGGATGAATCTCACAAACGATGTTAATGGAAGCATTATTCATAAAGACAAGTGCCATAAAACAGTGAAAGTTAGTGAACTACTACACCTTCAGGTATCAACATGGATGAATCTCACAAACGATGTTAATGGAGAACTAACATGTCTATGTCCTACAGAGGAGCTTTAACAAAAATCATTCTTCTGATTGTAAGAAGCGTTTCATAATATATATGAGAAAGAATTTCCTGTAAGATCTGTTATTGAATTTATGCTACTTGGGGATTTTAAACTTAAATTTTTGCAGAGTTGAGCACTTGATTATTTAAAAACCCACATCTTATCAAAAGTACCTCTGTTGCTTTCCAGAAGTACAGTTATCAGCTTGAAAAATGAAAATTTATTTTAAAGCCCTCTGTGATGTATTGTTGACACAAATATTTAAATGTATATCTTTAATATGTGTAGTGTTATACTTATCGTGTGTTATTTTCATCAGACCTGCTCATGTGTCTTTGGTGGCTTTTATCTAAACAGTATCAGCCTCCCAGGGCAAATATACTTATGGTCAATTTCATCTTGTTTAACAAATTATTTTCTACTCATCTTCTTTAAAGCTAATTCTTACTGTGTAGTCTTGGAATTCAGAACAATATCTTATAAAACAAACAGTTGTTCAATGATAATTTTGTTGTCTAGGCTTTTTTTAAACAAGTTCTTTGATTTTTTTTCCCCTCTCCCTTAACAACATATAAATGAATAAATAGTTAATAATGACTTAGGGGTTAGACTGAGGGCAGTTTTCTAAAGTTAGTCTGCCAGTGTTTTGCTTCTAATTCCTATTCTTATGAAATATGTGCTTGCCTTCAAACTGAACTCTGAAGATTCATTAATTTAACAGTTTGATGTGTAAGCCACTTAAATTAGATTGCTTCACTCTCTTTGTGGTCAAGGGTGGATTTCCTCTGCCTGTGGCGGAAAGTGAATTCAATTGGGTTTTGGAAATCCTAGCTTCTAGTCCTTGCTTCATTAATACACTTTAACCTGGGGTAAATAATTCTCTCCCCTGTCTTAGTTTCCTCATCTATAAAATGGTATAACACCATTTATTCTGCTTACCAAAGTTGTTTGGAAATCAAATGAAACTATGTATCGCCCAAAACTCTGAACTGTTGCGTTTTATGCCAAGTTAGGTCCTATTATTATCCATATTGTAAATCATTGGTGTTCCTTCATTTTTCTTTATTCTCCTAACTTCAGTGTCCACCAGAGGAGTTTTGGAATGAAGCACTATTAGCTCACAAGCTTCATTTCCTGGTATTGAATCTGGATTTATTCAGAGTTGTTTACTTGGAGGCAGAAAAATTGGCCTTCTGGAGATAGCTTATTTTTTATCATTAAATAAAAATGATTTTTTTTTCATTTTTTATCATTTTCGTATGATAAAATGAATTGGTAACAGTACAGACATCAGAACCCTTTCTTTTGCTAGATTTTTGCTTTTCTTCATTTCATATATCCCTACAGCACAATTCCTAGTATGTTAATTAAGCATCTGGGCTTATTGTCAAATTCCCTTTTTTAGGGCCGGCCCGGTGGAGCACTTGGTAGAGTGCGGGGCTTGGGAGCACGGCGGCGCTCCCGCCGAGGGTTCGGATCCCATATAGAGACCGGTCCGCTCACTGGTTGAGCGTGGTGCGGGCGCGACACCGAGGGTTGTGATCCCGTTACTGGTCACGAAAAAAGACAAAAAGGAAAAAAAAATTCCCTTTTTTGAGTCTAAGTCTACTATGGTCCTTAGGAAAGTGACTTAGCTTCATTACAACTTCGTTTTTTTTCAACTGTAAAATGGAGCTGATGGTATTGCTTAGTTTACAGGGTTGCTGTGTGGTTTAAATGAGATAATATAAGAAAATTGCTTAGCATGGGGCCTACCACATAGAAAATGCTCAAAATGTTTTAGTATTATTATATAATTGATACTGATTTTTGAGAATCTATTCAACCTCCTATTCTTTTAAATTAAAATATTTTAGTGCATTCTGATATACCCTTTCTACAAACACTTCTTAATTCTGTTTTCAGAATATAATTTTCAATTTTATGGAAGATATGAACTAAACTATAGTTCAGTTTTAATATTTAAATATGTTGTACTTTAATTTTCAGTAAGAAATGATTAATATCTAAAAATTGTTTATTCTGGCTTTTTCAAAATATTGACCTAATTAACCAAAGTAAGATTTAACAAACTTTTTTCAAGATATGCCATGTACTAGGCAAAAGATTTTATTTTATTTATCTTCAAGACAGCCCTGTGATATAGGAATTATTTTTTCTTTTTTAGAGTTTAAAATTTGAAGCTAAGTGAATTTGTGAGGCTTGCCACCGATATACAAACACGAAGAGGGCAGGATTTTCTTTCTGCTATGTTTACCATTGCATCTTTGGTGCCTAAAACAGTGCTTAGCAAGTAACGAGTGGTCAGTGTAAGTTTGTTGAATATCATAAGTAGATTTTACGAACACAGATCCTTGTTTCAAACCTTGGCTTCCTTATCACACCACAGCTGTATCTGTTAGCAAGCAATGTTCAGTATTTTTTAAGCTACTTTTAGAGATCTTTATAAATATCAGTTGGCAATGGACATTTTTAAGTACACAAAATTAATGAGAAATGCAATTTGCATTAAGCTTGATATTGCCTCCCCATTCAGTTGAGGCTTGAATGTGAGAGATGATGTGGATATCTCCAGTGTGGGCTGAAAAACAGAAGGGAGGTGTGTGGGAGCTTGTTTCCTTTACTTCAAATGTGAATTCTTACCACATTGCAGTGTAAGAACAAAAACAATCTAGCACCACATACAAATAATTTTTTGTCTTATTTTGATATATTAATTTCTCTATAGTTCTTATTTTAGTGAGACTTAGTAAGAATCAGTTGTATTCAAATTCTGACTCTTGAAGAATCTTAATCTTGGGATGTATACATGTCTTTTTAAAAAAATAATTTAATTATGAACTCAGTGAGTTTTATATAAAAAATTCAAATGCATTTTCTTCTGTTATATAATGGATTTTGCAACCTTTATTGTACAAAATATGGTTATTTTTTACAATTCTTGCTTATTGTTGGTGATGTTATCAAACATGACCTCTCCTTGCCCCTTCTAAATCTTATTCTAGGCTGTTTCCCCTTCCACCATCTGAAGAACAAAACAAATTGTCTGGGAGAAACTGATGTCTGTCATTTTCTTTACAGCCTTCAAGAAAAGAAGTTAGAATTATCTTAGCCTAGGCTAGTATCTTACAACCCTGCTATTACAGTCTTTTACATCTGCTGAATTCCTTTTTTAACTTAAATCCTTTTCTTCTTTTTCTGGAATTGATCAGTTGCTTCAATAATTGCTTCATATTCAAGTACATTTATCTTTATGTGATGTGTTCCTCTTTAAATGTAAATCGAATCGTGGTATATTCTAAATGTATTATGGAGCTTTTCTGTTAAAAGAATTCCTTTTGTAAAACAAATAATTACCCATTAATTGTATTTTGGGTTTGTTTTTGTTTTCTGTTGCTAGTGGTAGTTTTTTGTTTTATTTTTTCCTAGATTTGGATTTTCAAATACATGTTTTACTTAAAAACAGGGTATACTTAGAAGTGGTTTCTCAGGGCATTTGTGAACTTTCTCTTCTCTGGGGTTAGATGTACTGATACAAGCAGTAATTTGAGGTTTCCTGCATTGAATATTAGGTTGGTTCTATTCTAAAAAAGAAAACAACTCAGTCTTATTTTGAATGTACTGTCATCTACCCTCAGTAGAGGGATTGTTAAAGATAACATTGAGTAAATCTCATCATGCTAACTATAATTTCTTTGTGCCTAAAATCGGGTTTCACTTTATTCTTCCTCCTCTGTGTTGCAGCTTGTGGATAGCGAGGTGGTTATGCTGTCCGCACACTGGGAGAAAAAGAAGACGAGCCTAATAGAGTTGCAGGAGCAGCTCCAGCAGCTTCCAGGTCTAATAGCAGATTTAGAATCTGTGACAGCAAATCTAGGTAAGTTTGATGGTTGCATATGTATGTTACTTTTAGGAATGTGAACAGTTTGGACAGGACTTGGTGTAATTGCAAAGCTTTCTAGAATATATTAAATTCTTGGTTAACAGGATATTAACCTTAATTAACCTTGGTTAATAGGATATTAACTAATTAGAACTAGTTAATTTCATATTCTGTTTAATTGAGGATTAGACAGAAAATGATTTAAAATGTGGAAGTGATTTCTAAAATGTACCATTAACTTTTTCTGCCTCAGTTTAGCTCAGGAAACACAATTATAATTTTGTTGATTCTTAAAGTGACTCAGGGCTATCTTTGTGACATTAGATCTTGTTGTTTGAACGTATAAATGTAGAAAATAAAAAGGGTTATTAGGGTGCCTTTGTCCTGATTGTAGAATGTACTCTAGAAGTTGTTTTTAAAATTTAGATCTCCTAGAGCTTCTCGTAGTCTAGCAGTATATTTTTCCTGCTCAAATCAGGTTATGTGAGGGTTATCTTTTTGGCTAAATTTATACTTCGTGGAAGTCTATTTTTATTTTATTTTCATTTGGATGGATTATGTTGATATTCTTTTTTCCTTGGGTTTATATTCAGAAAATTACCTTTTATCTGAGGATAATATAATGGTTTACTATTTTCTAATCAAGCTTGAGATCTTAGTAGAAGATGGGAGCTATATATACAGGAGATAAACTTCTTGAGCTGATAACCTGATCTGTTCTTATAGGTGAGAAGCTAAGGATATCCTGTCATCTCCTCTTGTTTTTTAATATCAGTTTATTTAGAGAAAAACAACTGATTTACAAAGCAAGTAATTAGTAAATCATAAAACATTTTTTGTGCGTGAATGAAGTAGACAAATGGTATTGGGGATGCTGTTGCTGATAACAGTAGCTAACATTTCTAGCACCTATATGTCTGAGATTGCTATTTGCTTTCTAGATACTTCCTTTAATCCTCACAAGAACCTTACAAAAGTAGCTTTAATTATCCTCACTTTACAGATAAAGAAACTAAATCTTGGGGAGGCTGTGACTTGCTCGGAGTCACATAGTGATAGTATTCTCGGTGGGAGATTAGGCAGGAGGGTGGCAGCTGTCAGTCGGCCTTTATGGACTGTACTCTCCAAGCTTCCAGCTGTTACAGATGCCTTCTGGGGTCTGTGTTTTGTTATATCTGAAGACAGGGCATGGGAGAGAGATTCTGGGTCTTAGGAGAAGTGTAAAATAGCAGTGGTGGCCCTCTGCATTATTTCCCTCTTGTAGGTACAGTAATGATCCTTCTCAAGCCTTGGATAACTAACGGTTGGTAACAGCCTTCAGGATATTTGGAATTTTCTTCTTAGCCCATTTCTTTAGCTTAACATGCATCTTTTTGAGTCACTTGCTTTCCATTGGTTTTGTTTTTCTTTCAGAGAGATTCTCCTATGATAACCTCCCTTCTTTTTTTTCCCCAACTGAGATTAAATTCTATTTGTAAATAGTTGTTTTCTTTGTTTAATGTCACTCTGCTGATTGAATGCATTTTGCCACAATTCTGAGTATTTCCACAGTTAGTTCTGCTTAGGAAATGCAGTCTATATATGTCTTTCTTAGAATATACTGTATTTTCATTCTCAATTAGGATTCTAATATCCTTAAAAATGTTTGATATTTGGTAATACGTGATCTTAATCTCCAGAAACTGCATTTTGGCTTCTTAAATGAATGGATGGGCCTCCTAAATGCTCACTTGAATTCTCTCTCTTTATTCATCTGAGAACATCTACCACAAAAGGCAAATTAAAGTTTTCTCTGAAGAACTTTTCTGGACAGATAGTTGCTTCTAAATAAATTCGAATCATTTTTTCCCCCTAGTGTATGTCTAACCTATGTTAAGCTCCTTTTGGAGAGTTAGTTCAGTTTTCTTAGAAGATATATCAAAAATCCAGATTTGTTTTTAATGTCTATTGCCAATCTGAATTATCCATTAGCATTTGAAATACACACTGCCTTTGGGTTTTAGTCTATTGCTGTTATTTGCCTGATATTTATACTTAGTGTAGTGAATGACTAACTGTGGAAGAAAGCATGTAAAAACTTGGAATTCCAGAGGCCTGGTAGTTTTTGGCCTAGAATAAATTCAAAGAGAGATATTTTGAAATTGTGAGACTTTTAGCTAAGCAACTGAAGCTTCATGGAATCAGTGCTGGTATTCTTATTCTTTATAGTAGGAGAACACTTTGAAGCCAAATTTGGTGGGGTAGGTTGTGTAAACATAGTATAATTAATGCACTTTATGAATTCATTTTAATGCATTTGTGCATCATTATTAGATATTGGAAGTACTTTAGAGTCTTAAATTTTCACTCATATACTACTGGATTCTTTTTTTTTTTTTAGTAGCCTCAAAATACATCCTATTGTTACATAAATACTTTGACATAACATTACAAGGCTTAAATAGTTAAGCAATAATAAAAAATAAAAACACCTTAGAACTGACCTATATTTAAGTAAGTAACTGACCTATATTTAAGTCACATCTGATAATCCTTTTATATTGATTTCAAAAGCCTATTTAATTGATAATTAACGAGAAGCCAGGTCATTTAAAAAAGAAATAATAAAGTTATACTGGGAACCGGAAAACGAGGGCTGTGAACTTTTAGGTATGGGTTTTGGATCCCATTTCTACAACTTTCGGTGAGACCCGTGCAGTTTTCTTAACCACTCCAAGCTTTAGTCTCTTCATCTGCAAAATGAGGATGAGAGTACCTGCCTCACAAGTAGTTGGAGGATAAAATGAGGCAACAAATATAAAGCACTTAGCACAGTGCCTGGTATGTGCTAGGCACCTGCTGTGCACCACGTGCTGTTATAGGCTCTGGGGACATAGTAGTGAGCAAGGGTGGGTACCTGCGATCAAGATGCTGACTTTCTAGTGGAGCCTGTCTAGCCATTGCAGATTTACAAAACCATTGTGCTTTGACAGAAGGGTTTGGATGAATGTTATGCAGTTTAGCTTGTACTAAAAAACAGTTCAGAATACAAAACCACAGCATTAAATGTGGTGAGATGAACAATGTAGTATTCCATACATTGAAAGATAGTAAGGGTAAAATAGAATATTTAGATTCTATTTACTTATTTTGTGAAATAATCACAGTGTGTTATAAAATTGGAAAAATACATTTGAAAAGTATTTATTAAATTCTCTTGAACTTCCACTAGAGGGTAGTCTAATCCTATTCCTTTATTGATGTTTAAACCATCAAGGACTTGTCTTTGAATTTTCTCTTAATTTTATATGACCTATTTTAAGAATATTGCCTTCGTCTATAACAGAAGATTCTGTTAATTCTTAGGTAACAAAGTGATGTAAGAGAACGGCAGCCATATACTGAGTTTGTACCTTTCTTTTGCTCTGACCTAGCCTGATACATTATTGTTTTGCTTTTTTCTGTACAGAATTTGAGGGGGCATCTAACAAGGAGACTGTCACAGCTGTTAGTGTTTCAGGAACTAGATTATCTTATTGTCCAAGTTACTTTCTAAAAGTAGACCCTTCAAGAGGCACAGTAACTCTCTTTAGACACCTTTTTGCCTACTACATAGATCTCATTTGTTCCATAATAGCTTTTCCAAGTTAATGCACTTCTTAAAGTTTCCTTATTACCATACTGTCATTACCTTATTACTTTAGTCCTTAAAAGTGTTACATTAAGCATTTGAAGAGTCTTAGTACCTGGCCTCTATGGCCTGTGGGTCTGCAGCCAAAGAAGATTTCTTTGTTCCTTGAAGCTAATTATTTTGTTAGGAAAGAGCTCATTAAGTGTGAAACAATTAATTTTAGTGTGCTGCTTCATTCTTCATGTATCAGTGGTTATGCTACATATAGTATGTATGAATATTTGAAACAAATGGCACAAAGAAAAATTCCAGACAGAATTGCTCTTCCTCTGGGAGTCTTCTCACAAAGATTTGTGAAGCTCTTTCCTGCACAGCTGTCAGGCATTCCCAAATGGCTTTTCACAATAAAATTCCTCCTATCTTTTCCACTGATCACTAAATGAGACATATGCTGTTGTTATAGCGAGCAAAATGGTGAGGCTTGAGCTTCTTGTAAAGGTATGTTTGTGTCCATGGAGGCCTGCTAGTGTTTTATGTACATGCGTTTTAAGTTGGTTACCAAATTTACTCGCCTTGTTTTACTCAACTTGTTTTGTAACAGGAAATGAGAAGGCCGTGCCATGGAAATTGAATTTCTGCCAATTTAAATTTAAATAAAATATTTAAATAAAATATTCATAATAAACATCATATGTGTGCTTGTAAAGTTTTTTTTAAAGGTTTTAATATAAAAAGGGAGGAAAATTTATTTTTCAGTATAGTTATTCTATATTTTATTATTGATTTCAAGCCTGTTAAGAGTTAAAACGGAAAATTTCCATTACTACTTCTGCTTTAACTCACTGATAATGTGGCCTGGCTTGAAATACTAATTAAAGAGTACCATCATGTTGTTTAATATTTTCTAAGTTCTCTGCCCATGTTTAATTTATTCTTTTACAAAACTTAGCATAATCTCAATATTTAAATTAGATGAATCATAGATTTGCTTTCTTGATTGTTTTAAATTTTAGAGTAATAGAATCATTTTATTACCAGCAATCATTCTTCATGGAATTCAACAGACTAGGTATTAGGGGATACAAAGATGCAAAAAATACAGTCTTCACTCTTTTTTTTTTTTTTTTCGTCTTTTTTTTTTCATGACAGTCTTCACTCTTAAAACCCTTACTGATTCCTGAAAGAGTTGAGAGTATACAAATTGTTGTATCATGTCAGTCAGAGTATAAGTCCTGTGTAAGGCTCAGAGGTCTGTGGAAGCACAGAAGAGGAGAGCCCTGTGAGATGGAGGAAGGAACAGCCCTGGCCTGAGCCTGAAAAGTGAGAGAGGGGCAAGCAAAGGCATTTCTGTGACAGGCAAAGGCAAGGAGGCAGGACTGTGTGAGACTCTTCCTGGATGCTGAGTAGCCTTGTTTGCTGTAATGTGGAATATGTGAAGGAAAGTAGTAGTAAGAATGTGAAAGGAGGTTATGGCCAGAGGGCAATAGGTCCCTGAATGCTAAGTTAGGAGTTTAACTTGATTCTGTAAAGACTCAGGAGCCTTTGAAGCTTTTTAAAGGGGATAACATAAATATGAATTTGGTGGTAGCAGTAAAATAACCACTGTTGATTCCAAGCATTTTTAATGTAAATTTGCCGTTCAACACAAGAAAGTGATCCTGTTGGCTGTGGATGTGTGGCTGTTTTCTCATTAGGAGTTCCCGGGTGGTACTGAACCACTCACACATTTTCACCTGGTTCCCATTTTGCTAACAGAAGAGTGACTAGGGCAGCAAGTACAACTTATACCTAGACCAGAATTTCTGTCCATGAGAAATTAATTGTCCTGCCTAGGGATCATCTTCGTTCAGGTTCCTGGCCTCAGCCTTGCAGCAACAGAGCTAGAATCTAAGTGGAAATTGTCATCTGTCCAAATGGGTAAAAAGAACATATATGTTTTCCAGTATAGAGTAATTATTGACTCATTTGCATATTTTCTTTTTAGGAAAATTATTTGAAATTTAATTCCCCTCACCTGTAGGGGATCTTAAGTCAAAGAATGTAGCCTGGAGTATACTTTAACATGTATAAGTTTGTCAGGAAAAAATGAAAATGTTATTGATGTTTTGATCTATTAGATCCATAGATCTTGCTTACATCATGATCATTACTGGTCAAAGTATTAGTTTTAAATGACTTTTACTAAACTTAGCTAATCTTTATAAAATTTTTTTCTCTGCATTTTTTATATTCAACCATCAATTATTTACTAACTGTCAAGTGTTAAGTTTAGGTACTTTGGCTCATTTAATCCTTTGGCAGCTTTGCAGGATGTGTGTTGTTAGCACTCTTTGCATAGATGAAGCATCACACTGCATTCACACCTGTAAAGAGCAGAGCTGGGTTTCTAGGCTTGTGCTTCAAAGCCCTACTCTCAACCAGTCCTCTGTATGCTAAGGATATGTGCATGATATTGAAGGAACCAAGTAGCTTAGAGTTAAATGGATTCCATATTAAATTTAATTATTCTAGATCTTATCAGTAATCAAAGTGAAAAAGTCTTTTAAATAATCCTATTAGCTCTGATCGTCTTTTGTACATTTTAAGACCTTGTCAACCTAGTTATAAAAGAATAAGCTGAATATTGCTTCTTCAGTGCTAGTAGTACTAGCTCCCAAACTGAGCCTCTTAGTCATTTTTCCATTTAATAAAGTAGTAGAAAATAATTAATATAACATTTTGCCGGTTTCCCCCACATAAACTCCTTATGTCCATTTATGACAGTCTTAGAAATCTTAGATATAATTATTCATTGATTAAAATTTATATTTTTCAAATTATTTCATTTAGGCATTCCATAATCACATATATTGGCTGTTTTATGTGGCCCCTGACTATAGATTCAAAACCATTATGAACTTCATTATTATCAGCCTTTTCCAGAGTTCCCATGGTCTGCAGTGATACATGAATATGATAAAAAGTAGTACCTAAAATGTCTTGGAAGAGAACTGCTAAATTACTTGTCATCCCATTTTCAGTTTTCAAAAACATTTTATTTTCTTCAAGATCCATGTTTTTAAGCCTTAGGCTGTACCAAATAGAAGAGGAAGTTTTTGTAAGAACAGATACTTAGTAGAGTTAAAGTTTAGGATATTAGAAAATGTCTATGCTTCTGGATTTAATAGATCTTTGGATCAAACAAAGATTGGTTTAAAACAGGCAAAACTTGTATCTTAATAAATCTAGAATTGCAAGTTGTAATTTGAGGAGTTTGCTCCTAACCTAGATGCTAGGAAAGCTAACTTAGAAAGTCACATGAAAATCTAATAGGTAAATGAAGGAGTTGTATTGTAGCTGTTTAAGTGCACATGAGACTGGAAGGCTACTGCACAGTTTGCTCGTCTCTGCTGTGCCGTTCCCTGCTGGGTCGTGGCCCCTCCCGATTCAGGAGTCATGTCCTGCTGAGCTTTGCCTCGTGTTACATGCCATTCCTTCGAGTTCCCAAATGTCCAGCTCCATTGGACTTTTTTTGGGGGGGGGGGGCTGACTGATATGGGGCTCTGAACCTCTGACCTTGATATTGTAAGGCTGTGCTCTAACCAGCTGCACTAACCTGCCAGCCCAGCTCTGTTGGACTTTGTTGCCACTGGAATATGCCTCCCCCCCTACTATAAGCTCCTGGAGCACAAGGCTCGTACTTTTTACCTTTGTAGCCTAGTGTCTGGCATAGTGACTGGCATGTGTTAGTTGGTATTTGATAAATGGCTATGAGACTGTTTGAGTTCTAAGATCTTTGACCTCTAAAGCTTTTCTGTTGCATGAGAAAACAACCAGTCCCTACCCCTACAACTGTGAAGTCTTGGTTTACTTAGCATCCTATCAGTTGGAAGTCATTGTAGTGTAAGAGGAACTCAGTTTGGGTTCTTCACTGCACTTTGCTAGGTATGTGACCTTGGGCAAAACACTGAATTAGTTTCTCTAGGCTTTGGTCTTGAATCTTTTCAGTGATGGATTTGACTATCCATGTTCCAATACAGCTGCAAAACTCTGTGGCCTAGAGGCAGAGTAAACTAGTGAAAGACTAATCAACTGACCTATGGAGCTGAGTCTCTTCCCCACCTAACCACTGACTAGCCTGGTAACCCTACATACCTAGAATGCCTTGAAAATTTATGTATATGATGTGCCAAAGGCAAAACAAATGCTAAAGTAACTTGGAATCGCAAATATTAAATTGTCAGGTGTAATTTATGTTAATTAAATTTTGCTGTATTTCATTATTTGAAAATTGGCTATTCATGTATGTATATGAGGTCATTAGCATATAACTTTTGGTTAATCAAGATACTCCATTTCTTCATCTTCCTATTTAGTAAAGTAAAGTATTTTGGAAAGTTACATGTTGAAAATGTTTGAAATATAGCCAAAAAAGGTAATTTGAAGTATGTTTTAATGTTGGCCAGTGTATGTTATTTCTCTTCAAGAAAGTTTAATGAAGGGCCAGCCCCGTGGCTCACTCAGGAGAGTGCGGTGCTGGTAGCGCCGAGGCCACAGGTTCAGATCCCATATAGGGATGGCCGGTGCACTCACTGGCTGAGCGTGGCGCGGACCACACCGTGCTGAGGGTTGCGATCCCCTTACCGGTCAGAAAAAAAAAAAAAAGAAAAGAAAGTTGGATCGCAACCCTCAGTGTTGCCCCTGTACCGGACCGGGGACCGGCAACGGGATTGCAACCCTCGGTGGCGCTCCCGCGCCTCGCTCAGCCAGTGAGCGGGAACCGGTCTGTATGTGGGAACCGGTCTGTATGTGGGAACCGGCAACAGGATTGCAACCCTCGGTGCCGCTCCCGTGCCTCGCTCAGCCAGTGAGCGGGAACCGGTCTGTATGTGGGATCCGAACCCTCGGACGGGAGCGCCGCCGCGCTTCCCAAGCGGCGCACTTATCCAGTGCGCCACCGGGCCGGCCCAAGAAAAGAAAGTTTAATGAAGAATATTAAACAAATGCAACAGAGCCTTGACAATTTAAACTTTTAACTTTTGACATTTCACGATCAAGGATTCTGATTTTTGATGTTTGTTTCTTCTTTTTATCTTATACACTTTCAGCTCATTTAGAGGCTAGTTTTGAGGAGGTAGAAAACCACCTGCTGCATCTGGAAGATTTATGTGAGCAGTGTGAATTAGAAAGACACAAACATATGCAGTCCCAGCAATTGGAGAATTACAAGAAAAATAAGAGGTAAGTTTGAAAAATTGGCCACAGTATTCATTTTCAATCTCAAAGTTTTTCACATTACATGCTATTCTTTATAAGTTTGGACTAATAAAAGACAAAGGTTTCAACATATAAAGCTCATTAATAAGGTTTATAAAACATGTTTTATTACCTCTGTCTGTTGCCATTTATAGAGAAGAGTTGTAACAAGCTAAGGATAGGGTAGAACGTGAATCCCTAACATGGAGCAGGTGGGGAGCAAAGCAAAGGCAGACTTTTCTAGCTGAATGGGAGTCCCAACCTGCTTTTCTTCTAGTCCAGGTGACTGTGTTGCTTTTTCCTTTTTCTTTTTTTTCTCCTCCTTTATTACTAGAGCAGGAGGGAAAATACTTGATCCCAGGCTGTGGAAAGGGGCTAGATGGGTTTGAATCTCAACTCTGTCACATTCTACCTGTGGGAACTTAGGCAAACTAGTTAATCTCTCTTAGCCTCAGTGTTTCTGGTCTATGATGGGGATAACAGTGTTCACCTTATAGAGTTGTTGTGAGAATTAAATGAGATAATTGTTATCCATTTCAATAAGTGCTCTGTATTAGTTATACTAATGATTATTATCACTAAGCCAACCTGAAATAGAAATGGAAGAAAAGTTTAAGCGTAATAGCCTATAAACTAGCTATGGCATCCCAACTCAACTCCTGCAGTGGCCATCTGAGACAGGGCTGGAAGGTGCAGGGTGGGTATCTTGAAGTCTATCCACAATAGCTGATGAGAGGGCATGAGACTGTCATATGTGTTGGGCACAGCAGGAACTGAGGCTGTGAGGGAGGGGTTGTTAGGAGGGGAGAAAACAATTCATGGGATTGGAGTCTGGCTGAGGCTGAAGATCAGATTTGGTGGGAGAGGGAGATGGATAGGTTGGGCAGAGTACACTATTGTTTTTAAGATTGTTGACAGGTTGAGTAGTTCTGGACCTTGGGTGTGGCAATGGCAGGAGTGGGTTGCTGATGGGGACAGGAAGTGCTGCTCACTAATGTAAAGGAGGTTAAAAAAAAACGAAGCTACAGTGTATATTGACAAAATAAAAATTTAACGGAAAAAAAAAAATGAAGCTAATATGTGGGAGTGGTAGTTAAAGTTTTCTAGAATGATGCCAATGGATGGGGTAGAGGTGGAAACTGAGTATTTTAGAACCAAAGCTCTCAGTCAGGTCCATGTGTCTTCAGAGGGCCTTAATGTTAATGAGCCATAAGAATCACTTGAGGAGAGTTTAAAATGCAGACTCCTGAGCTCCATCAAAGTATAATTCAAAGTTAATTCCAGTGTCATTGCTTGAAATAAGCATTCTAGGTGATTCTGATATGGGTAGTTCACGGATCACATTTTGAGAAAATGCCAGGCAGGGATGGGGTATGGGTTATGGGTTGTATGCAGGCTTTAAATGGAAGAACCAAAAGAGCTCTCAGGGGCCAACAGTCAAATTGTTTGCAATAATGTGTGTGTGAATTTTTCTGGAAGTGGTTTCTGTAAATTTCATTTTCCCCACAAAAATGACAGGAGGGTATATGGCAGCATTAAGAATGGAATCTCTGTCAGAGTGGGTGAGCCTTGTGACCTGGGGGATTTCCAGACTGGTATATGGGGCATGGGAGATGAGGAAGCTTCCCTCAGGAACCAGGTGGCAGAGTTAGAGATCGTCAGGCTAGTTTTAAATTTTAAAGGAAAAGGTGGGGAAATATTCTGTTGTGAAGATGTTAGTCATGAAAGTAAGTTTGTTTACGATGCAACAAGAGTTTAAGGAACATGGTAGGAAGGCTTGGAATTTTGAAAGGAAATCTTTGCAGGATGCTGGATAGCTTTGGTATAGGTCGTGTGACACTAGAGGATGGTTTCCTTATCTGTAAAATGGGGATGATAATATTTAATACCTTATAGGGTTGTTATGGGGATTCAACTAGTAAAGTGCATGGACTAGTTAGTGCTGGCACTGGGTAAGTGCTCTGTCAGCACTGGCTGACTTGTCTCATCACTTGTGCAATGATAAATAGATGGGCATTCCCTATTTTTAATACTAGTTACGTTTTTTAACTATTTGAATACAGGAGTTATATGAATGTTGTGATTTTTCTATCAATGTGTTGAAATTTGATTATTTGAAACCTGGTATATGACACTTTAATACATAAAATCAAACTTCAGGTTTTAATAAGTTAATATTACTAGATAGAAAAGAAAGCAATAAGATTTGGAGCTGTGAAATTTTGTCATGCTTTTCTTCATGCTCACTGAATAACCTAGATATATTTTAATTCGTTATAATTTATATGATGTAAAATGAAAATTAATGTAGTGTTTGGAAAATACCATCACTTGTAATTTAAGTAAAAGCCAAAATGTACTGAATAAGGCTTAATGTGTTTCATATCATTGAAATGGGAGAGTATTTTTCTTTTTAGAGGCAGAATTGTGTAGTAGAAATAGCTTCTTAGAGTTAAAAGACCTGAGTCCAGGCTTCTTTGGTTACTAACTTTGTGCTCTTGGGCAAGCCATTCACTTTCCTTTATACCTTATTCTCTTAAAACTTTGCTTAGTATAGATCCTTCCTGACTAGCATTTGAAAGACTTCAAAAAAATTTTTGTCTTTTTAATAAACTTAGATGTGATAAATAGATTTCTTGATAGTGCCTGTTACTCTGAAATATGTAAGAAAACAGTAGTGTAACAACTGAGGACTACCAATTTGTAATCATTAGCTTGCAATCTATAGGTAAATAATGGTAACTGTTTCATACTTTGATAGGCCAAATTTTTAAAAATTACTTTCTATTTCTCAAGGATAGCAGGAGATTGATGTAGAATATCCTAACAGTTTTTAAACCTAAGAATTTTTGTGAGAAGTTTCAAGGATGAGAAATTTAAATTAACTACTATTTTGACTTTCCAAGACTTCATCTGAAAAAAAATTGTTTATGTAGATATTTATTTGTTAATATTTACTCATAGCATCTTCATAAAATAAATATTTATCAGTAAATGCCAAAGTATTTTGCATGTAATTGTCTAGTAAGACATTAGACTTGTGATTTAAGTTGAAGTCATATTTTTATCTGAAATGATTATTAGTAATTTAATTCAAAATTAACAGAAATAGTACTATTTGGGTTATTATGAAAAGTCCTTGAAGACCTCAGCTTGAATTTCTTCTATGCCACTTGCTATTTGTTTGACTTTTGGCAAATGACCTATCTTCAGCTTTCTTATCTGTAAAATAGAGACGATGATGATTTCTGGCAGGGTTATTGAAGACGAGACAGAGATTTTTTTTGTTTTTGTTTCTTTTTAAGGGCAAAATAAGAACAAGCCTGTTTAACTCACAGAATCACTGGTAATTCTCAATTCCACTTACCTTGCTTCTCTAAATACAAATAATAGAAATATTGGATACGAAACAGTGCTTAAATTTATAAACTGTAATTCTGAAGCTCTTAGCTTATGTTATTCAACATATAAAAGGATGAAGTATCTTTTTTTTTTTTCCTTTTTGTCTTTTTTACTGACCGGTAACGGGATCGCAACCCAATACGAAACAGTGCTTAAATTTATAAACTGTAATTCTGAAGCTCTTAGCTTATGTTATTCAACATATAAAAGGATGAAGTATCTTTTTTTTTTTCCTTTTTGTCTTTTTTACTGACCGGTAACGGGATCGCAACCCTCGGTGTTGCGCCCGCACTGTGCTCAGCCAGTGAGTGGGAACCGGTCTCCACATGGGATCCGAACCCTCGGCGGGAGCGCCACTGCGCTCCCAAGCGGCGCACTCTCCATTGCACCACCAGGCTGGCCCTGAAGTATCTTTTTTAAAGAAACTTTTTGGAAGTGATTTATTTAGTCTGATTATTTATATGGCTGATAATAATTGGTCATAGTATAAATAATTTAGTTACAACATTGAGAGAGTTGAGCATTTTTGTTCAATGAAATGCAGACTAACCAAAAAAATATTTTAAATAAATCATGTAGAACATTTACTATTCCATAGATGTTTTATTTACATTTTAAACTTTTTCTCAGTTACTCTTATTCATTCATGAGGTATCAAAACTGGAAATATGTTGAAGGCTAGTGTAATTACACCAAAGTAGTTTTGATTGATACAGAACTTTCATTTAACACAATAGATTGAACAGTCGTCTTTACTGAAAACCCACTAAAATGATAATAAACTTTTAAAAAGTTATAATTAAGAAAAACAAAAAGAATGGAAGAAGACATAACAGTAGATGAGAAATGGCATCAACATTTCGGAAGATGGAAGTGGATAGATCAGTGATAATTGACTTAGCAGAGCACAGAAGGCTAAAACCTAAGCTGCCACTTGGGTGCCTGCAGCAGGGAACTCTGACATGAAACGTGCTGACATGTACCACAGAATTCTAGAAAGGCTCAGAATTGAAGGCACCAGGAACCTTGAAAGATAAGGTATGCTGAAGGCATGAGAACTGGTTGAAAATACATGTATGGAGACATTAGACCCCCTGATTCTCTGCTCAGCCAGTTGATTACCCCAACCCTTGCTCATCAGGCACATGAAATTGGACCTGTCAGGCTCCAGATCTGAAGATTCTAGACACATTTGAGGGCAGGTTGCAGCACAACTGTATTGAAAACAGAGGGATTAAGTGAGAGTCTACATATGAAACAAAGAGACTCTTTAGGCCTCTTTCCCCTCTGGCTCCCAGACCTCTGGCAGTCAGCATTACATCCCCTATGCAGAATATTGGAGGGTTCATCTGAGAAACCGACCAGCCCAGGAGCAAAGACCTGCAGATATGGACATTTAGGGAGTTTTCTGGTGAAACAGCTGGGTCTACATCTTAACACCCTCTGGTGATGAGCCCCATATCTCTGTGCATGACCTCTAATCTACGTTTTTGGTGCCTCACTCTTAAATATGAATGGATAGCTGAGAAATAAAATTCAATTGAGAAAAGCTTCTAAAATGAAAGTGACCAAAATAAATAGAA